TGCGTCTGATCTAGATGTATGTGATGCAAAGTGCATTGAAGGCCAAGGTAATGTTTTGGTGCCCACATTTAGATGGGACCTCACAGATTTGGAGATGGACGAGTTCAAAATTCGTAGGGGGTCCCTTGAGGGTGTTCATATACCACAAACTGGAGTTGACAAGCAGTGGTCTAGAGATATTTATGGTTTGTTCTCTTCAAGGCCATTCTATATGGCCCATTGGCCCTCGTGGGCATATCTAATAGATTGCCTCCCTAGCATTTGGTTTGAAGGATCCGAAGTCTACTGAGGGTAATGGCCTTTGGTTGGCTAGCATGCCAAGATTGCATTCTTACTATTGACCATCTTCAAAAAAGGGGGCTTGCAAATTCCTAACCAGTCTTTTAAAATGCGGCAAAGCCGCATCCCGCATCAGGCCGCATGATTTGTCCGTCATTTTGACCTTTGAAATGGGGGGAAAGGGTTTGGGGGGTATTAAACCACCCAAACAACATTTTTCAGCCACATCCGTGGCTTTTATTGGATCGATTGAATCAAAAACAAAATTTGGGCGGAATTTTTATTTGTTGAAGTTCTTCGACTTGTAATACAAGATACTACAAACTAAAAGTCCATGAAGATTAGAAGTTATTAATCAAAGAACTTTTCTCAACACTTATAAAATAAAATTTGTAACTTTAAAGAGTTCATGAACTAATGCAGTAAAGTTACAAATCAATGAGTCTATAAAATTTGTTGATCTTCATCAATGCCCTGATATCGTAAAGTTACAACATTTTTATAAATTTATAAAGTTTATAAAAAGTATACAAATCGAGTCGAATAACTTCATGGACTCTTTTTAAGATTAACGAGTTTATAAAATTTGTAACTTTAAAGCTTTTTGTTGCAGATTTGTGCTTATGATTGTTGATTGTTGAATGTTTTATGAAGCTAGTTTCAAGTTTCTAGTTTCTATCAGGGGACATTGGATACAGAATCTCTGACAGCTAATACTTTTGGAGTTAATGAATATTCTAAATACCTACTATCACATATATCACCTCCATATATTTATTATATGCATTAACCTATTTTTTTAGATTTTTTACGATTTTTTTATTTTTATTGATCCCATCGCCGCGATGCACCCGAATCCGAACCACATCGAACCGCATCAGCCCCCCAACGCTTTTGGCCACATCCTGCATTTTAAAACACTGTTCCTAACATGTGCATCATGCGTCATGAAGAAGCTGGGTTGGTCCATGACCCTTTTGCATGGGGCATTGAGTCTTTCACTCTTGACTTTTTTGGGTTGTATTACATTATGCCACCATCAATGGCCATTTCGGCTTAACTTCACCCATACAGGGTTTACTTGCGGTAGATGTGCATCATTGCCACTCTTTAGGGTAGTTGGACAGAACAAAAACACAGGGTACATCATACAGAAATGCATCTGAGGACATCCAAGTCGTGAATTTCTTAAGGAATTGGAGAACGGCAATATTCAGCAAAATAAATCTACATAGTGAATATGGACTTGCCCCTCCCCCCATCGGAATCCATAAAGTTAATTGTAATGTTAGCACACTATGCAATCCAGGGAAACAAGATATTGGGGACATTTGTGAGATTCTAATGGGAGATCATTGCCATATTTTTTAAGCCCATCAGAGTATTTGTGATCTCTTCTGGCGGAGGGGAGAACATTACTCATGAGATTGTAATTATGTTGTCAGGAGATTGTAAACTCTATCATTGTCAAAGGAGATAGCCTTCATGTTTCGATGGGCTGCAGGGGCCACCCCTTACCTCTGCAACTTGAGACGAACTACAATAATATTGTAGATATTACCTTCTCACTCTTTCTCTCATCTCAGAATGTTTTGAAGGAGGCTGATAAGGAGGCAAACATCCTTGCAAAAGGAGGACTACT